TATTAACTTTGGATGATTAATCCCGGCCTTAACTTTCAAAATATCAAAAGACCCCTAAACAGTAGGGTTTTCTAGTATAATTTCAAAATTAAAGGGAGTTTTCTGATAAAATATAAAAGTTAGAAGGGGGTTATGATAATCCCTTCATTTAAGGGAGTTTCCTAACATTTTGAAAGTTAAAGAGGATTTTCTCCAAAATTAGTCTCGGATCGTTGAAGTTATTTTTTTTTTACTTTCTTAACTTTTAGTTATATCATTTCTTTAGTTCATATTCAAATCAACTAGAGATAACTACACTACAAATTCTACACTACTACTATATTATGCTGACATCGTGCATATATATGTGGCATGTCAATGGTGTTTTATAAGTGGTAGCTACACTACAAATTGCATACTACTTCTAAGCTATGTTGATATGGGGCTCATGTAGCAATGGTGATTGTACATTATAATTGTTTTTAGTTTTGAAAAATTAAAACTGCCACGAAAGAAAAATCATTTATGTAAGGTAATAGGATACTTTTTCATAGAGAAATTCAGGTATCACTATATTTCGGAAGAAATCATCCTTCATCACATTTGGTTACTATATAGTGAGGAACTTAACCATGTAATATCCATGCAGCATTACGTCGCACTGCTCAAGTGCAATATTAGTTTTTTAGCAAAGTTTTATTCTATCTGTAATCATGAAAAAGCTAATAAGCTAATTAGGAATGTAAACGGGAGTCATCATTTATTCTTTTTTCATGAAGGATGTCATCTGATCAAGATGGAATTAATGATCAAGCTCACATCCCGATCCGAGAGTTAAAAATTTATCAGAAACAATAGGGTATAAATGTTAGTGTCTTACGTATACTATAGAATCCTTTAAGAATGGAGAAGTGAAGAAGCAAAAGTTGATTCTAATTGATGAAGATGAGGTGATACAAATTTTACATTAATTGTTATTATTCCATGTAATTTTGATATTACCGTGATAACTTGATTTATTGTTCATTGTGCCTTTTGCAGGGAACATTTATCCAAGCAATTTTATTTAATAAGCTGATAGAAAAGCTTAACGATTTATTGATAAAGAGAGAAACGTAGACTATAACAAATGGAGAAGTAAAGCCTCCAAATTTGAAATATCCAACAATTAATCTAGATAAGGAGTTGGCTCTAACAACAAAGACAATCGTCCGAGAAACAAAAACCTTTCTATCATTGGAGAAGTTGAAACCAACATTCCTTTCATTTAAGATGCTTCTGGTTATGATGTTGGAAAATGTCTTTTGGTAAGATTTAAAAAAAAAATTTGATGCAAAAATTGTTGGCCTTCTTGTTTTGATGATGTTTAACAAACAATTTACTTCTAATGTTGTTTGTCTAGTGTTTGTGTTTTCGTATTTATTCTAGGCAAACAACGAGTTGGAGGTTGGATGGATTGTGCTTCAACCATAATATCCAATGGAGGTTGGCGGAATAGTGGAGTGAAGCCTTGATATCAAGTTAAAGATCCAATTACAAGCTTCATCCAAGTTTACCAAGTTGAGCTACAATGAAGATCAAGATCAAGCTTGGGTATAGTTTAGGGTTTATATCATGTGTGTTAAGTACGTTAAGCTCAATATCATATACACACACATTTTATTGGTTTCCTTGTATATATATATAGTCATATATATATATACAACACAAGTTTTGGTTTTTATGTTTATAAATATGAAATTACATATTTCATATTTATTATTGTGATTTGGTTTATCTACTTAGATATGAAACAAATATATTTTCATATACATACTCATATGTTTCATTTTCTATTGTATTTGTAAAAATATTGTATTCTTAGTTTTTGGACTTAATAATAATCATATACATATTTTATTAAGTCTACATAATCATTTTGTAAAGTTTCAAAACATGGTTTAGCCAAAATGTCAAAATTCATGTGTTTACATTTTTATGTTTTGGACATACTTGAAAAATACATGAGTTTTCATAATTGGGAAATAAAATTTAAAAAAATTTCTTCATTTACATATTTATATTCATATATACAAACTTTTCCCCAAGTTTTACTAATTTTGGAGTTGTTTTGTTATTTTCAATTGAATTTATAAAAATGAGTATTCAGCAGTTTTTCAGAAACTGTTTATCTGTGTTCAAATATTTTTTTCTGTCAACTGGGAAGTTAGTTTTCAGAAAATCTTTATCTAACATGTTTATATATATGTCTATAACCTTTTCACAAAATTTTATGATTTTTGGAATTGATTTACTATATTTAATTGATTTTACAAAGTTAGATATGTAAATTTCCAGAATGCTGGATTTTGTGGTATTTTGGTCTTTTCAGCCTATAACGGCTAGTAACGGCTAGTTTTTGATATTTTTTGGTCTTTTCAGCCTATAACGGCTAGTAACGGCTAGTTTTTGATATTTTTGGTTTTTGGGGGTTTGTGACTGGTTTAAGAGGCTATAAAAAGCTTTCAACTTTCATTGTTTCTTATGGATGTTTAAGAGAGTTTTAAAAAAAGTTTTACAAGTTTGTTGAAGGGTTTTTAAGTTTGTTTCAAGAGTTTGTTTGTGAAGAAAATTCCACAAGAGCTTGAGGAGATCATCTATTGGTGTTTGAGCTTCAATCCATATCTCTCTCTCTCTCTCTCTCTCTCTCTCTCTCTCTCTCTCTCTCTTGTCATCTAGAAAAGTTTCCCGAAACTCAATTCTAGCTTTTATTTATAATTATTTGTTGATTATCATTTCTATTAAGCTAGTATTTACATTTGAGTTTAGTTGATTTTATTTTCCTCATTGTTTACACATACCCACTTGAGCTTATTGTATTTTCATATATAGTATATTTGGATTGGTGAGAGTTGTAATAATTGAGTGTGAGCTTTCATTGTGTTCTCGTCTATTGAAGAGAACAAATTTATTGTTTGTTACATTGTGAGATTGTAAAGTTTTCGGTGAGCTAGAAAACTGAGTGTGAGGAGTGAACGTTGATCGGTGAGCGTTGAAAACCGACATTGTGAGGTGTAAACGTTATTCGGGTGAACGTAGAAAACCCGGTTGTGATAGTGGATTTTTTCCCGGGAGTGGGGAGCGGAGACGTAGGATGGAAGGTCCGAACTCCGTGATCATTTGAGTGTGTTTGAGTTTGTCATTGGCGCATTTGCTTATGCATTTATCTTATATCGTCATTGCCTATTACTCTTGTATATTTTGCCCTATCACTTTTATAGTTTGATTATATCACCCTTGTGTTAGTTTATATATCATTGCATATATTTTTATCATATAGGATATATCTCATTGTTCATATTACTTATCCTAGCTCACATATCATGTTGTATTTCATACTTGCTAGGATAACTTGTTAATAATTTTTAATTGGTATAAAATCAGATTAGATTAGCATAAGACCCTAATCACCCCCCTCTAGGGTCTAACAAAAATTTATACATATTAATTATCACTAAAATTTTCTTTATTACGGATATTGTTGGATTCGTAATATCTATGAAGCCAATATTTAGCAATCCCACTTCCAAAAGAAGGGAAGTCATAATTATGAATAAAAAGTAAGAATTTAATATTATTTTTTATTATCATGTACGGGTTATTGGTAAAACACCTAATGTTTTTTTAAATTTTAGGTTTGACCAAATTTCAGTGACACAATGGGGCGAGTTACGTGCTTAATCCTCACAAGGGCAATTCCGTACTTTGCAGCGCCACTATCTTTCTGCATATGGATCATCACTACCCGTGATTTCACTGTAAAAGATTAAAAAATAGAAATAAAAATTAGGATCTTTACTTTAGAGTTTAGACATTGATTCCTTAAACTTCACATTTTTTTAAAGGCTAAATATCATAAAACCCCCCTTAACTTTGGATGATTAATCTCTTAACTTTCAAAATATCAAAAGACCCCTAAACAGTGGGGCTCTAAACAGTGGGGTTTTCTAGTATAATTTCAAAATAGAAGGGAGTTTTCTGATAAAATATAAAAATTAGAAGGGGTTAAGATAATCCCTTCATTTAAGGGAGTTTCCTAACATTTTGAAAGTTGGGGGGATTTTCTCCAAAATTAGTCTCGTGCCTTAAAGTTAATTTTTTTTTACTTTCTTAACTTTTAGTTATATCATTTCTTTAGTTCATATTCAAATCGTGCATATGTGGCACGTCAATGGTGTTTTATAAGTGGTAATAGTTACACTACAAATTGCATACTACTTCTAAGCAATGTTGATATGGGGCTCATGTAGCAACGGTGATTTTACATTATAATTGTTTTTAGTTTTGAAAAATTAAAACTGCCACGAAAAGAAAAAGCATTTATGACATTATATAAATTTTCTAAAAAAACCTTTTCACCCAGAAGAAGTAGGATGTGAAGAAGCTTTTTTAAAGAAAATTAATATAATGCTATAATTTTTTGTCTTTCTTGGCAGCCTTAATTTTTCAAAAATAAAAGACAATTATAGAGTACAATCAACATTACCATATCAACGCCATGTCAACGTAACGTAGAAGTAGTGTTGAATTTGTAGTGCAGTGATAACTATTCTTATTGTAATCCTTGATTAGTAGATTTGAGGTTTCGTTTTATGCTCAAAAGATCTAGTTTTACTTTTTCAGATTTAAGGAACATATTAAAAAAAAATTATTGTATGAAATGTACCATATTCTCATATTCTTTTTAACTGTTTCTTGCTTTCTCTTCATGTGTATATTGGCATGTACCATGTTCTTTTTTTTACTGAAATATATTTGTACTCATATCTGTAATTAGAATCGGTAAACAAATAAAGGTATAATAAGTATCATATCTAAGCCGTATCTGATCCGTTTGCGACCCGAGTTTTAGCTCAATATAGTAGATTTGGGTTAAGTAAGCGAACCTACAGAATTTGGGGAGCAAAACGGCAAATACCGTTGATTGTTTGGGGCTATAAACGTAAAAAAAAAAACCCAAAAAAAAAAAAATCCAAAATTTTCACAGTAACGCGCACTCTCTACAGAGCGAAGAGAGAGTTGCCGTTTGTTCACGAGGAGCATAATGAGATTCGAGAAACGGAAGCACAATCACAAGAGGAGGAGGAGGAGGAGGAATCTAGGGTTAGGGTTTCTTCAACAATTGGGGCTCGATCACTGTAAAGCTACAGTCTTTGAATGATGGCCGAGCTGGAAAGCCCATCGTTGACTCTGTCTCTCTCTCTCTCTCTCTCTCTCTCTCTCTCTGTCTCCCTCTCCCTCTCAAGGGTGAGTGATTTCTGACAACCCACCATCCAATTCCAATACCCCTCGTGATATCTTTTAAACCCATTAACCCTAATCAGCGACTCACCATTTCTAGGGTTTCTTCTGAGGATCTTACAGCAAAATTTCATAGAGTTGGGTATACATTCTCAATTTCAGCGTAATTTATGTGTATGGTTTTGCTCTGAGCCCTCCCATACCAATACCTAAAAAAAAAGGAAAAAAAATGATGCCCAGATTGTTATTTTTGGGTATTGTGTCCTGCTTTGTTCTTGTTATTCGTTTGGACGCGCAAGAGAGCCAAATTCTCTTGAATTTCAAGAAAGGGCTTGTTGATATCGATGGAAATCTCGACAGTTGGAGCTCTTTGGACTCTAACCCTTGCCATTGGAGTGGTATCGGCTGTGTCAATGCGTCGGAGGTAACTTCGATAAATCTCCATGCCTTTAATCTCTCCGGTAGGTTGCCTACAGGAATATGCCAACTCCGGTACTTAACCGCCTTCAATGTTTCGACAAATACGTTCTCGGGTCCTATTCCTGTGGATTTCGCTTCTTGTAGGAATCTAGAAGTCTTAGACCTTAGCACTAATGATCTCCATGGTGAAATCCCCGGAGAACTCTGCGGTTTGTCTTCGTTGAGAATGCTCTTCTTGAGTGAAAACTTTCTCTATGGTGAGATACCATCCCAAATTGGTAATCTCACGTCACTGAGAGAGCTTGTCATTTATAGTAATAATCTCACCGGGCCAATTCCTTCTTCGATCCGAATGCTGAAAAACCTTAGCATCATTCGCGCAGGTCTAAATGAATTTTCGGGTATTATACCTGCTGAAATTTGCGAGTGTTATAGCCTAGAGGTTCTTGGGCTTGCCCAGAATAGGTTTGTAGGGTCTCTTCCTAGAGGGCTCCAGAGGTTGAAGAATTTGACCACTTTGATTCTGTGGCAAAATCTGTTATCTGGGGAAATCCCTCCAGAGCTTGGTAATTGCAGTAGGTTAGAGATGATTGCTTTGAATGACAATAGTTTCACTGGAAGCATACCAAAGGAGCTTGGGATGTTGTCAATGTTGAAAAGATTGTATGTCTATAGAAACAAATTGAATGGACCGATCCCTAGAGAGTTAGGGAATTGTGTGAGTGCAGTGGAGATTGATTTATCCGAGAATTCGTTGTCGGGAACCATTCCCGTAGAGCTTGGTAGGATCCAAACTCTTCGACTTCTTCATCTTTTTGAGAATCTATTGCAAGGGAACATCCCTTGGGAGCTCGGGCAGCTGAGTCAGTTGAGAAGGATAGATTTGTCTATAAATAACTTGACGGGTACCATTCCTTTGGGGTTTCAAAACATCACCTCTCTTGAATACTTCCAACTTTTCAACAATTCTCTCGAAGGCATCATTCCTCCTCTATTAGGGACCAACAGCAACCTCTCTGTGCTCGACTTGTCTGACAACAAGCTAAACAGTACTATACCTCCTTACCTTTGCAAATATGGTAAGTTGATTTTCTTGAGCCTTGGTTCAAATAGCTTGGTAGGGAATATCCCTCATGGGGTAAAGACTTGCAAGAGTCTTGTGCAACTGATGTTGGGGACTAATAAGCTTACAGGGAGCCTGCCCGTGGAATTATCTGAACTCGTAAATCTCACTGCTGTAGAAATGAATAAGAATCGATTCTCCGGACCAATAATTCCTGAAATTGGCAGGCTCAAGAAACTTGAAAGACTCTTTCTTTCCGATAATTATTTTATAGGTCAAATCCCTCCTGAAATTGGAGAATTATCAGAGCTTGTGTTCTTCAATATCTCCTCAAACCAGCTCTCTGGAGGTATTCCTCATGAATTAGCAAACTGTACAAAGCTCCAGAGGCTTGATCTTAGCAGGAATCAGTTCACTGGTTATGTTCCAGAAGATCTCGGCAATCTAGTGAATATGGAATTACTCAAGCTATCTGACAACATTCTGAATGGTACAATTCCTAGTAGTCTAGGAAACCTCTCTCGTCTTACTGAGCTGCAAATGGGAGGGAATCATTTCTCTGGAACTATACCCTTCGAGCTTGGCAGACTTGGAGCTCTACAAATTTCACTCAATGTTAGCTACAATAACCTCTCTGGAGAGATACCGGCCGAGCTCGGAAGCTTGCAAATGTTGATATCGCTTTACCTGAACAACAATCAACTGGATGGTGAAGTGCCCTCTTCATTCAGTGGCCTGTCAGGCCTTTTAGAATGCAATCTCTCTTACAATAACCTTGTGGGATTTTTACCTAGTGCTCCTGTGTTCCAAAGGATGGATGTTAGCAATTTTCTTGGAAATGATGGCCTATGTGGGATGCATCTTAGAGCATGCCAACAAAATCCCATGCCATCAAATGCTGAAGAATCAAGCTGGATCTCAAGGGATACTGCAAGTGAGAAAATCATTAGCCTTGTTGCGATGGTCATAGGATTTGTTTCCTTAATTCTCACAGTGGGAGTCTGCTGGGCCCTAAAGCAACATGTACCTATTCTCGTCTCGTGTGATGATCACAAAGATGATATATCAGGCAATTATTATTTCCCGAAGGATGGTATCACATATCAAGAGCTTCTTAACGCGACTAACAATTTCTCGGAGAGTACCATAATAGGAAGGGGTGCCTGTGGTACAGTATACAAAGCAGTCATGGGTGATGGGGTTATACTTGCAGTCAAGAAGTTAAAGCCCCATGGAGAAGGGTCTACTGATGACCGCAGTTTCCATGCTGAGATATCTACACTTGGGAATATTAGACACTGTAACATCGTGAAGCTTTTTGGTTTCTGCTACCATCAAGACTCTAACCTTATATTATATGAATTCATGGCTAATGGTAGTTTGGGGGAGCTGCTTCATGGGACTAAGGAAACATGTTTGCTTGATTGGGACGCCCGCTATAAGATTGCTCTTGGAGCTGCCGAGGGTTTGCGATATCTTCACTGTGATTGCAAGCCTCAGATAATACACCGTGATATAAAGTCAAATAACATTTTGCTAGATGAAGCATTTGAAGCTCATGTAGGAGACTTTGGATTGGCAAAGTTAATTGACATTTCCCACTCCAAGACCATGTCTGCAGTTGCTGGCTCATATGGCTATATTGCACCAGGTAAGATAATTGTCTCACCATGCCAAAAAATTTCTATTTCTTGGTATTGCATCTTTAGTAGCAAAGAGCAGGAGTTTGATGAAGTATACTTTGCCTATTTGTTTAAAAGAATAATATAATAGGTATAAAGATGTGAATTTCTTGTCTATTACCGATAATTATGTTTGGTTTCATTTTGCTTCTTATGTCTTGATAGTTTAATTCTTCTATTTGATAGTTTCCCAAGTTTGTAGTTTCAGCTAAGTGTAGACGTAACCAGTTATAGTTGGGGAATATTTTTTTTCGGGTGCTAGAGGATAATGAGTATACCTGCTAGCGATATGGAAAACCATAAGAAAATACTGGCTATGACATCTATAACGCATTATGTTTGTATTCCTTATGACACAAAAGAGCTTCCTTTCCGTGGCTTTTCAAGATAAACTGGAACTAGGCAGAATCATAAGTAGAATATTCATTTGGATCTAGCAATGATGTGAGATTTTCATTTCTGTGGTCTATTCTCTTGGATTTACATATTTTAGCATACACAAAATAGTGAAATACCAGTATAAGGCTCTCCATCTCAAGATTACCACATAAATCAGAGGCCAATGGATTCTTTGAAAGAGTTAGTTTCCTTCCATGTGGGATAATATGGATTTTCCCAGTAGAATTAATTATCTTGCTATATTCTCCTGTTATTTTGAGCTTAAAGGAGTGTTGTAGCAGGACAAAGATTTCGTGAATCATGGTTGCTGGAGAATGACGTACACATAAAGCATCTATTTGTAACAATCCAGAAACCAAATAGACTCATGTTGCCAAAAAAACCAGAATATCTACAGCTATATCCATCATATTAGCTATAGTTGTTTAATGGTAGTACATGTTTGTTTAACATTGCCAAAATTGAGGACATTAATTGTTTTAATTATTAACTATGTAGCACGGACACGGATCCAACACTGCCATCCGACACGCCGACACGAGGCAAATCCTAAAAAATACATAGGATACGTGTGTCCGACACGGACACGACACGACACGGCCAAAATAGTGAAATACCAGTATAAGGCTCTCCATCTCAAGATTACCACATAAATCAGAGGCCAATGGATTCTTTGAAAGAGTTAGTTTCCTTCCATGTGGGATAATATGGATTTTCCCAGTAGAATTAATTATCTTGCTATATTCTCCTGTTATTTTGAGCTTAAAGGAGTGTTGTAGCAGGACAAAGATTTCGTGAATCATGGTTGCTGGAGAATGACGTACACATAAAGCATCTATTTGTAACAATCCAGAAACCAAATAGACTCATGTTGCCAAAAAAACCAGAATATCTACAGCTATATCCATCATATTAGCTATAGTTGTTTAATGGTAGTACATGTTTGTTTAACATTGCCAAAATTGAGGACATTAATTGTTTTAATTATTAACTATGTAGCACGGACACGGATCCAACACTGCCATCCGACACGCCGACACGAGGCAAATCCTAAAAAATACATAGGATACGTGTGTCCGACACGGACACGACACGACACGGCTTCATGTTATGCGTGTCCGTGCTTCATAGATTATTAATAGAGTGAAGATAAGGTAATCCTTCTTCTTGATACTTTCTAGATTTTCTTATTATTGTTTGTGTTATCTGAAGATAGTTTGCATTGTGTTAAATTTTTTTTTAATCGTCCTTAATTTATTTTTCTATCACGGAGAACCACGGAGTTTGTTCAATCCTTCTTCTTGGCATAACATCATAGCATTATTCATGAATTATGAACCATTTAATTTTCAAATGAAATATTGTATTCTATCTAACTATAGTATTCTTTTCCTGGATTCAGAATATGCTTTCACAATGAAGATCACTGAAAAATGTGACATCTACAGTTTTGGAGTTGTTCTATTGGAACTCGTCACTGGGCAATCTCCAATTCAGCCTTTGGAACAAGGTGGGGATCTAGTCAATTGGGTGAGAAGGTCAATGCAGAACGTGTCACCAATCTCTTGCATTTTTGACCATCGTCTAGATTTGAGTTCAAAAAGAATGGTGGAAGAGATGGCTTTGATTTTGAAAATTGCTTTATTTTGCACCAGCGAGTCTCCATTTGATAGGCCAACAATGAGAGAAGTCATAGCCATGATGATCGACGCTAGGGAATCTTCGTGTAGTTCCCCATCATCTCCAATGTCAGAGACACCTTTAGATGGCAATGTTTCTTATGAAGGTAAAGAATCGTCCATCACTTTGGATATATCCCTGAGAAATGAAGATATCTTTTATGTCTCCAATGGTAGTCAACAAACCTCTACAATGATTCAGTAGCAGACTCGGTGGTTCATTATGTAGGAATACACTTTCACAATTCTGATGGCAGAGTGCATAGTTCAATCAATTTCTTTTGTTAGATATTACTGTTTACCAAATATTAGTAGAATTTAGGATCATTTAAACTAATACCTTCACGTTCTTTGTGACATGCTTTAGAGAAGAATAGCGCAACTGGGTTTCAAATTTAGTTTCTCAGTATAGGAAGGGCCTTTTATTTCTAACTGCTGCACCTTTTCACTTGTTATAGGGAACGGTCACCGTCATGATTACCTGACATCTCTATGAATTTGAATAATTCATATATTTTTTAGATCTTTGATCTTCTATGTTGCATTAAAGCAAATAGAATATTCGAAACAAGAATTTCATATCATAAGCTTAGGCCTACTGATTTAGTTCCAGTGTAAACATTTTTGGGTTTGCAATATCTTATTATTCTCCACAAATATTTAAGATGACCATGTAGCAGAGCATCGACGGGCTTTACTATTTTATGATCCATAGAATCAAGTAAAAAATACTTATCTGTTAAATACGTGTATGTAAATCACTAGGAAATCACATAAAGTATGATTATTTCCTTTGGCTTTGTCAATTTCAGAAAGGAGTATGCCGGTGTTTCGATAACCAGTCTGGAGAGCAAAGGAGAAGGGTATGAAGTCACTTATCGAGATATCTTCATAAGATACGCCCATGTCAATTCGGTGAAATTTGACGCGATCCTCAAGTCTCATAATGACAATGGTTATGCGCGTGGAAATATTCGCTGCCTTGGTCTGTAGAGCTAATAAATCTTGTGAAGGTACCTTGCAGGAGTAAAAGGTTGATGCTATCTTCATCTGGAAGAAGCAGAGGTTGAAAAGTTGCACATGCATAATCCTGTACAGGCTCTTGAGCAGGTGCACATAGATGACTTCATTTGCTGAGGCTGTTGTTTAGGGTGCGGGGGGAAATTTTAACAGTATCATGTGCAATATGCAATATGGATGACCATGATTTACTGAAACATTTACAGCTCATTTCATAATTTTGATTATTATTACTATTGTGGTTGATGTTAGTATTATGGCAACTCTTTCCTTGTTAGTGGATACGAACCTGGTTAAAGAGCTAAACTTGTGTTTACTAAATAAATAAATAAGAATTGAACTACTCCTTACACTGCACCAGTCTGAACCTGGTTAACGACTTGATCATAGTAAGAGTTTTTTTTTTTTTTTTTTTTTTTTTTTTTTTTTTTTTTTTTTTTTTTTTTTTTTTTTGTTAAACACAATCATTATCGTGCTCCCGTGATATGGGAATTTGGACTAATTACATTTTGTGCATGGACGATTTCCCTAGGATCAGAAGATCAAATTACTAGTAAAAACTTTAGGGAAAATGAGTTTATAGTTTTAATTTGTGATCTATGATGAACATAGATTCTTTATAGTATGGTCATGAATGACAAAGGGATAACTTTGTTTAGACGTCAGAGATTCTAAATGATAATAAAAAGTTGTCAAATTTTTAATGTTCAAAAGTAATCAGTAAGGACTCTTAACGTTATCTTCATCATCAACATAAATTGTACTTATAAATTTCTATTAAATCTTGCTAATGTGACAATAATATGAAAGAAGAAGCTTGTAATTTCACTAATTTTTCCTAATATGTTGGGATAAAATGGACTTTCACTAATTTCTTCTTTGCTAACATGTCAGTGATATGGTAGGGAGATTGTCACTGTTACGTCAGCAAGATTTAACAGAAACTAATAAGAAGAATCTAGAGTGGCGCAAAAATAACTTTAGTGAACTCCAATAACGATTTCAAACATTAAGATTTCATATGATATTTGATCCGTATATCAAAGAGTCTCAACTGAATTTTTTGGTTAACAAGTGTGTAACCCCCTTACAGTAGGCATTACCTAGATTCCATGTAGGATTAATATTTAACCAAATAGAATTTTGTGGAATGTTATGTAACAGTGGATACATGTGAGCCCAATAACGCCAAAATTGGGCCTACTCTACAAAAGGCAGAGCCCAAATATCTTCATCCTGTTTGTTTTTGTTCGCCACCGTCGTCCTTGAGATGCGTGACAAACCTTATAGTGTCTAAGTTGCGGCCCAATCACGTCTCTTTCTACCTAATTTTAACGTTTTATCTCTTTTATTCTCTTCTCCTTCATACATTAAAAAAAAGCATAAATTTCACAAAACTCCTGATCTTTGGGATATTTTGCACAAGAGATTCCTAAATTTTAAAAAGTAAAGAAGGTTCTTATTGACTTATTTCGCTAAACTAAGGACTCAAAACAATTGGTTTATTAGATAAGCACATGATATGTTTCATACTTCTAATGTAATTAATGTATTGGTAATATTATCCTCTTTTTTCATAGGCCTCCTCTCATGACACAGGTTAATTTATTTTTTCATGATCCGCTCTTTAGAAATAACAAATTATGATTTGGGATGGAAAACAGAGTACATGGAAAAACAAATGGAATTTTAGAGAATGAAAAAAAATTAGTTTGGAGGGAACTAATGGAGGCATTTGGAGATTTTTGAAGAGTTTGATTAGTGAAAATAGTGAGAACTAAAAGAATATAAAAGATTAGCTATCACATTATAATGATTTTCAGTTAGCTCAGTGGGCTTTGAATAACTCTGAAAGCTTGAGATTCTTTTTGTATAGTATAAAGATTAACTTGCGGCTTTACAAAAAAACTCAAAAATGTAGTGGGGTTTTGTAAAATTTTCCAAAAGAAAAATCTAATGTTTTTGGTTATTTGGTATCCCTCCAAATCTTCTATAAATTACACATTTATCCTCCAACTCTTAAGAATTGCCACCACACCCCAAAATCGTCAATAATTGCATATTTATCCCCATATATTCATAACTGCCAATATAACTCCCAAATCTTCCATAATTACATATCTACCACCAAATCCTCATAATTGACCATATACTTATTATTTTACAAAGTCGATAAAAATTTTAAAATGAGATTAATGAGTATCATTGTCATAGGAGAGGATTTCCTCCTTGACGCCTATGTGGCACAATCCCAACCATCCTCATAAAGTATGAGAGAATGTGTGAGTTGGTGGGGATTTGTGCCTACTTTATGAGGATGATGAGGATTGTGCCACATAGACGACAAGGAGAGAAATCTCCTCCTATGATAATGATACCCATTAATCTATTTAAAAATACCTAAAATATCCCCAAGTGATGTTTATCAAGAGGAAAAGCTCCATAGGAGGGCAATTATGGGCATTTGGGGGATAAATACGCAATAATGGACGATTTGCGGAGTGGTGCGCTGACAATTATGAAGATTTGGGGTATATACGTAAGTATGTAAGATTTGAAGGGTATATTGGCAATTATGAATATTTGAGATGAATATGGAATTAGGGATGATTTGTAGGGTATATTGGAAATTATGAAAATCTGGGGGCACATATGCAATTATGAAAGGTGTGGAGGGTGTATATGCAAATAACTTTTTTTTTGTTTGTTTGAGGAGTCGTGCGGCTTCCTCCTCCCCCATAAAAAATACAATTTTTATTTGATCACACTGTTGTTTATAACTTTATATCACATAAAACCCCTTTCCCCCACCTTCATTTATCCAGCCTCAATCTCTCGAAATTTTGATCAAATCTCTGCGGAGCAAGGGATTTCAGGAAATGGGTCCTGCGAAGAATTCGATTCAGGGTTTATTGAGGAGGGCCATCAGCATCAACAGCAGCAGAACAACAACAACAAATGGGGCGAGACGTCTGTGTGCAGTTCCAGAGAAGTCAAGCTCAACCTCTTCTTCATCCTCTTCTTCCTCTGATGAGCTGATTAAGATGGAGCAGAGCCACAGTGCTCATAAGTAAGTAAATAACATCAATAGCCTACTGTACCTTCCATTTATAATTGTTCTCCATGGTTTACAAACTTATGGTGAGGATTGAGTTTGCAAGTTTATAATCTGACATCTCTGGGTTATTGTAAAAAAAAAAAAACCTGGGCTCGCGCAGCGGTATTTTTCTTTTCAATCAGCATTAAATATGGAATTTGAGGGTTATAGTTTTAGGCTGCAGGACTCACCTAGACTACTGAGGAGTGCATGTTTTCAGGCCACAAGCACAAGCGACTTCATCTAATTGAAAAGGGTTTTAATAGATGCCGAAATTGCATTCGGTTCAAAATGGGAGAAGTTGTTTAATATTGGGTCCTCATTAATATCTCCGGAATTGCTATGCGAATAATTAAGCCAAACCCCTCAGTGCACAAGAACATTAATTTGTAGTACAGACGAAAGGGGAAGAATATTTGATTAAAGAAATCATCAAAGACGATATATGAAGGTAATTACACATGACCATGGAAATCAGTAAGAGGGTCTTGTTTTCCTACTCAGTTATATGCGGAAATAAAATTTTTAGGAATAAGATCATGTGAACTTTTGGTCATTGTCATATTCATCAAAGAGACTTGAGCATGTTTAGCATGTGAGGAACCTGATTTACTTAGTAGCATACATCTATATAGACGAGGTATGGTGATTCTAAAACTATTGAGGACCATCTCAAAATGATAAAATTAACTCAAATAAGAGTTGGGGTATGGACTGCTCCCAGCAAATATGCTATAGGACTCAAAAAATCACTGTTGTACATCTTTTGTATCGTATTCTACAATTTCCTATACAGTATAAAACCGTCCTTTGGCATCAGAATAAGAAGCGTGCTTCAGTCTTTCAACTTATGGAAAAAGGGTCCTCTTGTTGATCTTCTTGGAAATATAGCAAGTATACAAACTTCAGGAACTTTGAACTAGAAATGCAACCAAATGGACAAGTTCAAAGTGGTGTTAAAAGAAAGCAAAACTCATACGCATCACACTTTGATTAATTCTGGTAACATCAAATGTTATGTTATCTATGGTAAACTTAAACTCTTTAAACATATAAAATAGAAAAACTTGTTAATTTATATTATATATAAACTATGTCGTTAATGCTTTGTAGCATGTGTTTTATTTGAAAACATAGAATAAACTTTAAAATGTCTTGTGTAATTGATAAGGTCTGTTTATGTTTTTTATTATTTGTTCATGGGGAAACGTTATGATTTACATGTTTTAATTTACATTTAGGATGTTTTGTTTCAGGTTTTCGAGTATCATTTATGTCTAAATCATGTTGTTACTAGGCATATTATTGCTTGGTTTCTCAGATCAACTCAATGTTTTGAGCAACACAAAGCTTTGTACAGATTTTATTCGACTTCTAAGTCGTATTCTTTCTGCAGTTACCATCCAATTCCTATGGTATTTTCTCAAGCCAAGGGAACATCTATATGGGACCCTGAAGGCAACCGGTACATTGATTTCCTATCAGCTTACTCTGCAGTGAACCAGGTTTGCTGTTTTCAAAAGTAATATACCATTTGTATTCAGCATCGTTCACAACTTCAACTCTTGATGCCAATTCTTTATCTCAATTAGTTTGGTAAAGAATAGCCAGTTGGTAACAACTAGCAAGACTGATCTATCAACCTAAGTGTATAACTTTATTTTGCTTGCCTGTCTTCAGGGACATTGCCATCCAAAAGTTATGAAAGCCTTAGTTGAACAGGCAGGACGTCTTACACTTAGCTCTAGAGCCTTCTATAATGATAAGTTTCCAATCTTTGCTGAGTATTTGACACGCCTATTTGGATATGAGATGGTTCTACCAATGAATACGGGTGCTGAAGGCGTGGAAACTGCTCTGAAATTGGCACGAAAATGGGGTTACGAGAAAAAAAATATACCAAAGGACAATGTGAGTTTGTTTTGCTTCACTTTACTTTTGACCTTTCAATTGTCTCTTTGTCGTGTCAAAAAATTCTTCCTACCTGCATTTTGTGCTAGGTTGTCATTAAACAAAAGTAACTTGGAGGGGCAGTGAATACACAGAAAGAATGCAATTTTCAGAATCATAATTTGTTTGTATTAATAGGTCACATAGTTGTTCAAATATGTAAAAATGCAGCCAGCTTAAACATGCGCGTGCTTGTCTGAGTGAGTATGCGCATGTATGCATGAACACACATTAGATGACATCTATTATAGTATTATTATTATTCATAGAATACTTGTAGGTTATACAAGTTAACGTCCTAAACCAGAAAAAGCTAACAATCAGTAGTAGTGGTGAGCATGGGAGTTACCAAAATAGAGCAATTCTTCTTTTTTTCTTTTTTCTTTTTATGGAGTTGCAAAATTTTTTTCCTTTTCTTGAGTATGTGGTTATGTTTCTTTTCTAATTGTAGCCTTTTGGGATTATTTGTTACTCACTTTCATAATGTTCATGTTCCATGTTAGCAGTATGTCAATGGTGTTTATGGTTGGTCATAATTGTCTTTCGCACTTTCACCTCTGAGTGCAATATTTTGCTCAAGGACATTTTGAAGAATTAAGCTGCCTAATTTGAATAATTCATATCTACGAAGTGTATTTTTTTCTCCTTTTTCCTGAAGCTCATTTGTATTTACATCTTCCTCACTTCTTTGCACATGCTCCTTTTCCTAATTGAGGACACAATTCTTTCTACCAGCATGTAACAAGAAAGTAGGGGTGGAAACAAACCGAATAGAGTACCAAGGTGTCCGCACATGTATTTGTTTAAAATTTTCAAATTCGATTCTGAATTCCAATATCCTAGTTTGGATATTTTCGAACTCGAATAATTGGTATTTGTCAAATACTCAGAAATATTTATCAAATATTAAAGTATATTCATTTGACTAATAATGTATACAAATTAAGAAGATACTTTTTTTTGTTAAAGAAATACTTCCATATTTCTAAAGAATTTAATTTTTTAAACATCATTTAAATTCTTAGTTGAATACTTATGATGTATAAATCTATAATATGAATATTTTTATTAAAAAATTTAGTTTTAGGCGCTTTAAATCTCTCATATCCAGTATAGAACTTTAAGCAGAAAGTGTAAGCGAGTTAAAAACATTAGATCATGTGTGTACTAATACAAATTATAAACGATTAAATTTTAAGTGAATATTTGATAAGCAAACATATTGAATATACATTTGGTTAAATTCTATTCATTTATAAACCCGAATACTAAAGCTATTTGTTTATTGTTAAAGGAACCACCTAATTGAATATAATTAAATAGGTACTTGAACAATTAACAGACTATTTTCTTACTATTTGTTTAGGGTTTCAAAACTATATATTGACTGCTTCAGAAATGGCACACTGCATTTATAAACTTATAAAATCAACTATATAAAGACTACATAACTTCTCTATTCATCCCATAATATATTTTGTCGTTGCAATACATGATACATAAAACCCAATATTGTGCTTTATCAATCTCAGATTATGTGTCATTTTTGCTAAAAGCAATAGTTTTCCATAATGTATGAAATATAGTTACAGTGGTTCACGTTAATTCTATTCCTTTTTTTTTGCCAGGCTATTGTTGTGTCTTGCTGCGGATGTTTTCATGGCAGAACTCTAGGGGTAATATCCATGAGCTGTGATAATGATGCAACTCGAGGTTTTGGTCCCTTGGTTCCTGGTCATCTAAAAGTTGATTTTGGTGATACTGAGGCACTTGAAAAGATATTTAAAGGTTGGTGATGAGGATCATTTCTTGCCAACGGCTCAGCCCTTTTTTTTAAATTTACTTTGTAGATAATAACTAAGTATGAATCCTTTTTTTTTTTTTGGAATTTCAGAACATGGAGACCGGATATGTGGTTTTTTGTTTGAACCCATTCAAGGGGAGGCAGGGGTATGTATGCTTAAAACCTAATATATCAAATTTGAATACCACGTTGAAAGATAATAGGCATCTTAGAATATGAAACAACCTTGTTTTGATTTTGTAGGATTTTGGTATAAGTGCCACGTCTTTTATATTTCATAATAGAAGGTTAGCAAAATTAATACAAAAGATGAAATTTGACTTATAGTAATTTATTCTGCCACCTTCAATCGTGAGAAGCTATATTATCCGGATTTTTTGTTCATCTGTGCTTGATTCCTAGAGGACTCCACTAGTTCATGATTAGTGATTTTGAGAGTAGTTAATTAAAGTTCCATTGAAATCTTAATTCTATTTACTAAACCATTTACTCAATCTAGGCATTTGTGCTTCCTTGTGGTGGTTTCTTTGCTTGTTTCTTGATATTTCTCTCTTTCAAATTTGTCCAGTTATTTGTAACTGATCTAGTGATTCTGTAAGCTCTTCAATTCCATGTTTTATGTCATGGCTGTTTAAAATAATTTCATTACTAACCTAGAAATGTTGTTTGTGTGCACTTGCCTAAACTCCATTTTCTACTTTGCATACCATTCTTTTTGTTTATCTGCGAGCATATTAAAAAAAGGAAAAATTGCTTCAAGGCCCAAAAATGAAAATACAATGTGGCCCAGCCCCCTGTATTATTTTTCATGTGTATTAGCCCCAAAAAGGAAAAGTTAATGTGATTCTACCCTTTTTACAATTTCCAAGAGAATTAATTCCCAAAAAACCCCAAACTACCCTCATCATCTTCTTCTTCTTATCTTCTCCTTCTCCTCTCATCTCCTCTTCCACCCTCTCTCCAACCTCGCTGGATACCTCCAACACCGCCGCCACCTCCGCCTCCCCTCGACCTCGTCGACTCCATCCTCAGTCGTAGCCCCCGCCGTCACCATCGCTACCCTTCTTCCTCTTCTTCTTCTCCTTCTCTGTCTACCCCCTCTTGAGTTTTGAGGGCTCCGTTCTCTCCCCCGTCGCCCCCATCCCCCCGAGATAGAGCAGATCTCCGTCGCCTCCATCGCCACGTCAGCCCCCCCCCTCCACTCTCTCCCCGTTGTCAAATCCTTGGGCGGGTCGGGATCTGATTCTGGCGGCCTATCCGTCGGCGTCAGAGTTGGTTAAGGGGATCGCGGCCGAGTGTGGGGTTGTTTTTGATGAGGTTGGTAGAGATCTTAGGAGTTCTAATTTGTGTTTTTTTGCTTTGTTTTGGGTGATTGACAGATTAGTTTGGGGGTTTAGGATTCGGGGACGGAGGGGTCGTAGTGGGCGGAGAAGGGGGTGGGACCAGTGGAGGGGGTCGACGGGGACGGAGTCGAGGTGGGAGTTGAGGAGGGAGGGGTCGAGGCCGGGGAGGGAGAGGAGGAAGGGTTTGGATTGGGAGAGCTCCAAGGTCTGGATGCGGAGGGAGGGGAGGGAGGAGGCGAGGGAGGAGAGGAAGGAGACTGAGGGGGTGTAGTCGGGGTTGGGGTGGGCCGTGGGCGGTTGGGATTTGGAGGTAGCGGCGGAAGGTCTGGAGACGTGATTCTTCCTCTGTCGTGAAGGCATGGACGAGACGGTGTTGAGTTTAGCTGATCAAGAAGCAGACAACCACTCATAGATTGACTTTTTGGAGGGCCAGCGTCTCGTTGACTATGGAAGATCAGATCACCGCTCCTCTAGTTCTCTGATTTGAAGTCATTGTGCCGCAAATGTATCTGATGCACTGCCAATTATACAATAGACTGAAATTATTACTCATAATTATGTGTTACTTTTTTAACTTTTTTTCCAAAAGAAAAGTTTATTCTAGTAGTGTCGTGTGAGTGTGATGATACATAGATATTAGTATTTTAGTCTGTATTGAGTAACATGTTCCTTTTTGCATGAGATCAGGATAACATGTTCCATTTTGTAATTTATTTGGTAAATATCATCAGAAACATGTTAACTTTCTTTGTTCGTTTGTTAAGTTACACTGGTAACATGTTAACTTTCACAGTTCGCTTGTTAACTATAATACGTAGCATGTTAACTTTAATTGGTAAATTGATAATTATATTCAGTAAACTGTTAACTATAATTCATTATCCGTTAACTGTTATTTGTAATCCATTATCCGTTAACTGTTATTTCGGGTCATATACACGTTAATATAGTTCTCATTTAACATGTTAACTATAATACATAGCATGTTAACATAATCCGTTAACACATTAAAATAGAACTATAATACGTAAATTGATAACTATAATACGTAGCATCTAACACGTTGTTGTTAAAACTTGTTTCTCAGCCACGCTGTTGTTAAAACCACCTGGATCACTTAACATAAGTGTGAATATGTGCTAATTCTTCTTCTTCACAAGAGTTAACATGTTATCCATAAGAGTAACATGTTATCAACAAGAGTTAACATGTTATCCACAAGAGTTAACATGTTATCCACAAGAGTTAACATGTTTGCCACAAGAGTTAACATGTTTGCCATAAGAGTTAACATTTACGTATTATAGTTATCAATTTACGTATTATAGTTATCAATTTACGTAAATTGATAACTATAATACGTAAATTGATAACTATAATACGTAGCATCTAACACGTTGTTGTTAAAACTTGTTTCTCAGCCACGCTGTTGTTAAAACCACCTGGATCACTTAACATAGGTGTGATTGTTGTTAAAACCACCTGGATCACTTAACATAGGTGTGATTGTTGTTAAAACCACCTGGATCACTTAACATAGGTGTGATTGTTGTTAAAACCACCTGGATCACTTAACATAAGTGTGAATATGTGCTAATTCTTCTTCTTCACAAGAGTTAACATGTTATCCACAAGAGTTAACATGTTATCCACAATAGTTAACATGTTAGCCATAAGAGTTAACAAATTAGCCACAAGAGTTAACATATTATCCACAAGAATTAACATGTTAGCAACAAGAATTAACATGTTAGCCACAAGAGTTAACATGTTATCTACAAGAGTTAACATGTTAGCCATGGATTGAGCTCGATGATTTTAACATGTTATCTACAAGAGTTAACATGTTTAGTAATTTAATGTTAACTCTCTTTAATGTTAACTGTGAATCTCTGTTAGTTGCTTATTATGTTTGCTGTTTAGATGTTAGCTTTCATGTTTTAGATTTTAACCCTCCGTAACTTATTGCTTGCTATGTCATCGTTAGTGATAACAGCACAATTACATATCCGAAACTACTGTATTTGCTCCGCGGGGGAAGACTCGATGACAAAGTAATAGAGGTCATCTTAGATAGATTACGGCAATGGTTGCAGTTGCAGGAGAACGTTGCCTTAAACAAGCAGTATGGGATTGTATCTATATATTTCTGCGTAAGATCAATCCTCATATAATTAGTTAACATCTAAGCTCTTATAGTTAACATGTTAACCACAATAGTTAACATGTTAAAATAACCGTTAGTCACAACAATGAACATGTTAGCCACAAAAGTTAACATGTTATCCATAAGAATTAACATGTTATCCACAAGAGTTAACATATATCCACAAGAGTTGACATGTTATCCACAAGAGTCGACATGTTATCCACAAAAGTCAACATGTTATCCACAAGAGTTAACATATAGCCACAAGAGTTAACATGTTCCACAAAAGTCAACATGTTATCCACAAGAGTTAACATATAGCCACAAGAGTTAACATGTTATCCACAAAAATTAACATGTTTTATCCACAAGAGTTAACATGTTAGCCATAACAGTTAACATGTTAAACACAAGAGTTAACATGCTAACTAAAGAGTTAACATGTTAGCCATAACAGTTAACATGTTAAACACAAGAGTTAACATGCTAACTACAACAGTTAACATGATAAATATTATGGTTAAAATATTAACTATATGAATTTGAACCATGTTCACATGTTAAAGACCGCTCTTTCTTAATATCTTAATTTTGTATAACAGCATTCACTCTATTCCTAATTGTTCGCCATGATATAGTTGACCACTTTACTGTAAAGAAGCAACAAAATCGTTTGTGAAACAATCAACAGATTTGGTGGTAATATCCCAAAAATCGTTTGTGAAACAATCAACAGATTTGGTGGTAATATCCCAATCTCATCTTTTGGTACACTATGATTCTCAATTATATTTAGGGATTAGGTAAATGTTAACAGTCAGTCAACTATAGTTTACATATATTAGGTAAAACATAACAGTTAATCTACAAAACTTAATACTTAAAAGAATAAAGATAACAATTACTCAATTATACTTATATAGAACAACTAAACATTAACAGTTAATTGGCTATAGTTCATATGTAATAGGTAAAACTTAACAGCTAATTAACAAAACTTAACATTTAAAAGAAAAAAATTAACATTTACTCCACTATACTTAACATGGAACAAATAAACTAAACGTTAACAGTTAATTTTCTATAGTTTACATTACTAACACTGCAAAACATGATACACCACTATAAAAATTGAACTAACATAAATTCACTTTATTCTTAAATACTTCCGTTCAAATCATAAAACAATGGCATAAAACCAAACCTACATTCTCCACAATCAAGCTCTCCTCCACCCTAGCCTTCTTCTCCTCCACTCCACCTTCTGAGACCTCGTCATCTCGCAAGCAACACAAACTCCTCATAACTCCTCATAACTGAGCTCACCATCAGATCCATGAAATAGCTAAACCCAGTATCACGTACAATCTCCTCATAACTCTCAAAGAAAGAAACCAAAATCTCTATTTTCTTTGTTTACCCACTAAAGCTCACAAATTGCTAAAACCCACCAAAAATAAATCACCAAAGGGGGGAGGGGGGGATCAGACCCAATCTCTGCTCTTCTTTTATTTGTACACTATAAGCTCACAAATTGTTATAACCCACCGAAAAAACATCACCAAAGAGAGCAAACCAGCTCCAATCTCTGTTTTTTACATGTTTTTTTTCACTTATAGCTCACAACTTGCTAAAAACGTCCATCAAAAAGCAACACAAAATGAGAGAAAAAAAGGATAGAAAGCAACTCAAAAGGATGCACACATGCAGATAGGATAAATTTGAACCCAAAAGACTTCAGCTTTTCAAAAAACAACAAGGGGCCTTATTCCCCCCCCCTCCACCACCTCCGACCACCCCATCACCGATCCTACCACCACCAAACTCGGCCAATCCCAGCGATTCCAGCGACCCCACCCTATCCCTAGATTCCTCCAGATCTAGCGATTCCAGCGGAAGAAGAAGAGGCGGCGCGATGGTGGCGGCGGGGGCTACGACTGAGGATGGAGTCGTAGAGGTCGAGGGGAGGCGGAGGTGGAGGAGGTGGCGGCGGTGTTGGAGGTTCCCAGCGAGGTTGGAGAGAGAGGGTGGAAGAGGAGATGGGTTTGTTGGAAGAGAAGAAGAGATCTGGAGAAGGAGGGGTAATTTGGGGATATATTCCCTTGGGAATTGTAATTGGGGCTGAATCACACAGAGTTCTCATTTTTGGGGCTAATACACATGAAAAATAATACAGGGGCCTGGGCCACATTGTATTTTCATTTTTGGGGCCTTGAAGCAATTTTTCCTTAAAAAAAAAGGTGAATTGTTATGTTTGTTAACCGTTGTATCATTGGCTTTTGTTTATCATTGCCACTAGCCTTTCTTAGCCTTTGAACTTTTAATTAACTCTCTTCTCTTTAAATTGAAATTTCTTTCTCAAAATTGAAATTTGCATCACCAACACATTCATGATATATAAATTTTTACATTTGCTTTGCTTTTTGATAATATTTAAAGAGACATGTTTATTAAGTGTTGCTGTTGGTTTTCAATTTTTTCCAGGTTGTGATTCCACCTGATGGCTATCTGAAAACGGTTAGGGACCTCTGCACTAGACATAACATTTTGATGATTGCTGATGAAATTCAAACTGGCATAGCACGGACTGGAAAAATGCTAGCATGTGACTGGGAAAAAATCAGGCCTGATGTCGTGGTAAATTTTTTTTTGCACGTTCACAAATTCCTGTTGAGTATCTTAGCTCAAAATTGTCACTTTGGTTGCCAACCTTCTATGTTTGTTATCTGCAATAGGTACTAGGAAAAGCCTTAGGTGCCGGAGTCATCCCAGTTAGTGCTGTGCTCGCTGACAAGGATATCATGCTGTGCATCAGACCGGGAGAACATGGAAGGTGTGTGTTTTCTCTGCTATTTGTCGCTTGAAATTGGGTAAATTTCATGAATACCATGAATTATGGGGGTTATTATGCACAAAACTACTATAAACTACTTTTATTAGAGAAAAGTACCATCAGGCTCTCAAATCTACAGAAAATACCATAGACTATCAGAAAAATTACTATCACGGCATTAAGATGTCAAGAAAATCTAAAATATCCCTAATAGTTAAGAAGGAAGGGAGGGTGAGAGAGTAGTTATAGAAGTAATAAGGGCAAAATGTCCAAAATGTGTCGCGCGTGTATGATATGGCAACTGACACCACCCTTATCACGACCAGTCATTGTATTTTAGTAAAAGATATGATGTATTTTTGTCTAATTTAGTCTTTGGCGAATCGTCCTACAAGAATGTAGGAGCAACAAGAGAAATGAAACTTAAGGGAAGACAAGAATGGTGGCGACGAATTGAATAGTTCTGTTTTGTTTTTGTTTTCTGAAATAAATATTATGGAACCCGTCAGGGTTAGAATACATCTATATAATATAAAAGATATACATGAGCTGAGGATCAGAAGTCCCTTAAAGTTGATAGAGGACGAGAATACAATGTTTTCTTTTTTGCATACTTACATAGTTTTTAATAGTCTATATAAACTTAATTCTACTCTTTCACTATTACGTAATAATGCAATAGCTTATTGTTTTTAAATTCTGTAATTGCAGTACATTTGGTGGAAATCCTTTGGCGAGTGCAGTTGCAATTGCTGCTTTGGACGTAATCAAAGATGAAGGACTAATAGAGAGGTACGGCATCTCTCAGTTTCAGTATTGAGTATATTTTAATTGGCCAATTAGTGTAGTTATCCTATCACATATGTTAAAAAAAAGTCCTTTTGGTCACTAGAAATAATAGTTTCTTTCATTTTTTAGGAGAATATTTCCTTTGGTATATTCTATGCAGCTAGGGAAGTATACTCTTATTTCTTAGGATTATTTAATTTATGTTTCCTTTTTTATCTGCAGAGCTGCTAAATTGGGTGAAGAATTCAGGGACCAGTTGGTGAAGATTCAACAGCAATTCCCAGAAATCGTAAAAGAGGTACGAGGAAGAGGACTGCTTAATGCCATAGAACTAAACAACAAAGCTCTATCCCCAGTCTCTGCTTATGATATATGCCTTAAGTTGAAGGAAAGAGGGATTCTTGCAAAGCCCACTCATGATACTATAATCCGATTGGCTCCTCCGCTCTCTATAAGGTAAGCATCACTCATTGTTTCATTAGATCTTGAATGAATCCAAATTTTCCAAATATGGCGCCTGGCGCTTTCCTTTTCCCCGACTTCCTCAGGTTTTTTGAGCCTGTTTCAAGTTTGACACATTCTTTTGGTTTTTAATATCTATCTATATATTTTTTTTTCTTGAAATGTGTTAACTGGTCAAAGCATTTGATAGCATCTATTGTCTATGAAAAAATTACAAGCATAGAACAAACCTGTATTACATAATGCCATGAGCTCTCTTGCATTTTCTATTAAGGATGTTTAACTCACACGTCCAATTTATTGGTATATTTATTACTAGGTTGATATCTATCTGTGATGTCTCGGCTACCATCCTCTATTAAATGAGCAAACTCGATTTCTTTATATCATGATGTAGCTCCAAATAATGTAAAGGTAATTCCAGAAGAGATTATAGCTCAATTAGGCTTGCGATTGGTGATCGCCCCTCTCTTCTCTTGTTTAAGCTCTACCCTTTGTATGTGCTTCCTAAGGAATATGTTTCTTTGCGCATGTACCCTTTTCATATGATCCTGCGTGCCGTATTGTTTGATATGTTGAACTTTTACTTATTTCAGTTTGGAGGAGCTTAAGGAAGCATCGAAGGCTCTCAGAGATGTGTTGGAGATTGATTTACCGAAGATGAAGAAGGAAATGCCTCGGAAGAAAACCTCGAATGTGACTCATCCTTGCGACAGGTGTGGACGTGAATTATACTAACTCGTCCGAAGATTGATATACGGTTATTTCCGCGATAATTTCTATTCTTTCTGGCATATGCAAGCTCAAGCATTTAGAACCGAGCTAAATACTTAATAAATTTTAGAGCGCTGTCACCTATGTATGAACTTGGGAAGAAATTGCTTAAATGTTTGTTTTTTCTAATTATTCAAGAGTATATGCTTTCTATCATCAAAAGACATGAGATTTCTTCTTATTATATAAAGAATAACAGTCTGATGTAGGACGCATAACAATCAAATTCATGAAAAAGTGAGATATTCACGAGTCAAATATGGACGTGGATCAATTTTGTATTTTCTTGCAAAGAAACAATTATATTTCCCAATCCGGAAGGCGGATCCTGATATATTATATATGAAAATTGTTCACCTCGACGAGATGAAGTCATTTAAATTTAATAGATTTCCGGAATGACATCAGTATCACCGGTTTTTGGCAAAAAATTGAAAATTAATTAGCATTCAGTTTATTTTTAGTAATAAAAGTTAAGAGTCTATTTAGACTAGGAAACAATCAATTTTGTTTTATGTTGGATTGATTTATTTCATCTATTATAAAGAGTCTTTTTAGGATAGAGTTTAATCCTTTCTATTTCTTTGTAATTCTGGTCTTATTAGAAGTCTATTTTATTTTTCTATTTAAGAAGAGACTTGTAACCCCAAAATAAATAGATCGCTTTTATCAATAAAATTCATCTTTTAATATTTTCTTCGTTGATTCGAAGCTCTTCGTGAATTCGGAGATCATTCTTTATGGATTGACAGCCTTTCAACAAAAAACGCTGCTTTTGTTCAGCTACTATATTGATAAAGTAACTTGTGACAGAGATTTTGATGGTGAAATTGTCTTACGTCTTGTTGACGCATAGCCTTTCAACCTTCAACATGAGGCATTGCATTCATTGTATGTTTTTATTGTAGAGATTATAGTTTGGCTTGAACCTGAATCTCAATTTATCACGGAGAATGGCAGAGTCTTTCAAAAGACCCACTGTAGCTGTGGAAGATACAACTCTTCCACTGGAGCGCAGATAGCAAATGGTATGCTACTAAAAGTGGTTTTTCTTTTATTTTTATTTTTATTTTAAAGAATAAACAGTGGCAATGTTAACCTTACCGTACCAGTCACTGAGAATGTGTAGGATCTTTCGTTAAAAATTGCCACAAGAAAGTAGTGAGTCACCATGGATTTCACTTTCTTGTTTGAGCAAATGTAATACATGCTAGTATGCTACAATATGGTTATCACTACTCTATCAAAAATCTTTAAGCAAAAATCTTAGGCACTAATAAAATTTTCTAAAAGATAATAAATGGCTAATCATATTATATGAAGAGTTTATATGACTTGCATGGCTTACATTGTGGGCCAAAAAAATAAGAGCCGTTGTATCTGTATATTTACGACTAAGTATCATGTATCAAGTGCATCTGGTCTACAAGATATTTTCTCTAAGAGAATTCTTAAAACACCACGTGTCTAGCAAGCCCGGTTCTGTTGGAGTGCAATACCCACGTGGGGTGTCTGTTGTGCGCGGCGCGGAAGCGTGATAACCAAACGGGCGTGCTTCGAGAACCAAATCAAACCAAACGTCGAGATAAATGTCAAAACAACCAAAGTAACGGCACAAATCCAAACACAATAGTTTAACGTGGTTCGGCAATTGCCTACGTCCACGGGGCAAGAAGGGGATGGGGTTTTCACTAATAGAGAAGAAGAGTACAAACTGAGATTACAATACGCTCGATACAATCAACTAATATCACCAACAAAGTTCTTAATCTCTCTAAATAAACCCTCAAACAATAGCTCAAAAAACTCTCTTTTTTCTGTGCTCCAATATCCCCAAACCAATCTCCAATCCAAGCCAAAGAAACCCTAAAAAACGTGTCTCTATTTATAGCAAAACACAATCTCAAATAGATTAGGATTCTAAAAACGAGTCTGCCACACCCTGGTGTGACACACACCATACCCATGGAAAACATGGCAGATTCTGCCACACCAGGGTGTGGCAGACACCACACCCATGACAGACAGGGCAGATTCTGCCACACCTATGGCAGACACCACACCAGGGTGTGATGGAGCCTGTTTTGCTTATTCTTCACGTTTTTCTCAATTCCTTCCTCAATTCCTTCGCCGTTTTCACAATTCTCCACATTGGCGAAGTTTTTCCAAAACTGAGCCGACACCAACCAAACCAAATGCCTCACTTGCTGCTTCTCAATCCTCAACAAGTCGAGATCTAAACGGGAGTGTGAACACTCACCCAAACGTCGGTATCTACTCACCAAATCGGCTGCATCAAAACTGACTGCCTACATATCCTCTTGCCCAAGGAATCAAGCATTCACGTAGTTCACCCAAACGGCCTCTAAAGGCCCTCAAACAAATAGAAGAGCACACAACCCTCTTCCATCATCACCAAATCGGTGATAGATAGCACCTCCAATGACCTCAAATTGAAACGATCCAAACACCTCCACCTGAGGTGAACCAATGTCCATGTCCAAACTGTGCCTATCAGCTGCACTCAAATCAATCAATACGTAATCTGCATACAAAACCAAATGATCTTCACGCTGTGTCACCTCAGCTGAAGCCCCAAATAATACAGAATGACCTGGAGTATGTGGAGTAAACTCCACCCAATATGGAGTAGCATCACCCTCCACCTGCTGCGATATCCAAACGACCTGATCACCACTCTTTACCTACCAAGAGTCCAATGTGACATACCTGCTCAGAACAAAATCAGAAGCTCCCAACCGATAATCAAATGAGCCTTCGAATACCAAACGTGCAATCGGATCAAATCTCACATCCTCGATGTGACCAAATGCTGGGTAACCAAATATCCGACGCCAACCAAAATCTGAAGCGGCTCCACCAGATCCAATAACTCCTAATGCAGCAATTGGCGACGATTTGAAATAATCAAATCAAATCCGTACCATTCCGGATCTTACGTTTGAAAGTAAACAAGAAAGAACACAGCAGGTTTAATGAGGTTCGGCAACGTGCCTACGTCCTCGGGAGCCACACCACACAATTCTTTGATTACTTGAAGAAGATTACAATGCTTGCAATTGGCCTCTCTCTCTCTAAGATTTATAATCTCAAAGAGCCCTCAAAACCCTTTTTTTGTGCTCTTTTTCTCTCTTAAACCCTAAAGTGGCGTGTTTCTATTTATAACAAAACACAATCCCAAACAGATTAGGATTCTAAAACGAGTCTGCCACATCCTGGTGTGGTAGACACCACACCCATGACAGACAGGACAGACTCTGCCACACCAGGGTGTGGCAGACACCATACCCATGGCAGATAAGGCAGATTCTGCCACACCAGGGTGTGGCAGACACCACACCCATGGCCTGTCTTGAATTTTCATGCGATTGTTGATTTTGATTCTAGGTTTGGGTCTCCACTCTCAAGACCAACAATCTCCCACTTGGAGATCAAACCACCATCAATGAGCTCTCCCGAATTCCGCCTTCTTCGCAAGAATCTTCTCCTACTTGAAAAATCCATTCTTCAATCATCAACATCCTGACGATCTCGCCGATCCTCGTAGTGTGGCTCCGCCTTCGTCTTCTACTCGTGAAGGTCAACTGAAGTTGCGCACAACTCAAATTTCTCAATAGTGACTGTCTTCGTCAACATGTCTGTCGGATTTTGACTCCCCAAAATCTTCATTAAATGTAACTTTCGATCTTCAACTAGCGAGCGTATAAAATGGTATTTGACGTCGATGTGCTTCGTTTTGACATGATATACTGGATTCTTGGCAAGATGTATAGCACTCTGACTGTCACAATAAAGAACTCCTCTTCCTTGCTTCAAATCCAACTCTTCCAAGCACCTGTTCAACCAAATCATCTCCTTGCTTGCTTCGGTCACCACGACATACTCAGCCTCGGTTGTAGATAAAGTCACAATCTTCTGCAGATGTGAGACCCAGCTCACTGCTGTCGACGCTAAGGTATAAACATACACTGTGGTGCTTCGCCTCGTATCATGATCATCGGCGAAGTCCGCATCAATGTATCCCTACAGCACCAACTCCTTCCTCCTGAAACATAGTGGTTTATTTGTTGTTCCCCTCAAGTACCGTAATATCCACTTCACGACCTCCCAATGTTGCTTCCCTGGATTGCTAGCAAACCTGCTCACAACTCCCACTGCATGGGCGATGTCCGGCCTTGTGCAAACCATCGCGTACATGAGACTCTCAGGCCAAAGAATATGACACCCTCCTCATATGCTCTCTATCTGTATCTGTCTTATGCGATTGCTCCTCGTATAGCTTGAATTGACTTCCAAGGGGTGTGCTAACAACTTTAGTATTCTGCATGTTGAACCTCTGAAGTACCTTCTTAATGTATTCGGCTTGGCTCAATCTCAATTTCCCTCTAGCTTCATCCCTACTGATTCGCATCCCTTGAATCTGCTTCGCTACACCCAGATCCTTCTGTTTGTTAGAAATTTGCAGTAAAAAGACAATGAAAGAAAAATTTGACTTGTATTCCTCTCAAAATCAATTACAATTTGGATTCCGATTACAAAAGAGAGGAGAATGAATTTGATTCTCCCATTTGTTTAATTCTGGGTTCTTCACGGTGGCGATGAGATGCCTCCCTCGAATGCTCGCGTCGAGTTTGCTTCTCGTTGACGATCCGCACGTCTTGATTCACTGGAACATAGTCTTCTCCTCACGATTTGACGCTGTGGAAAACTTGCAAAGCAAGTTTGAAACTCTGGACGAGTTGATAACTCTGATCGAGTTCGAAACTCTTGAAAAAGTCTTAAAAATAACTCTTAACGAGTTAATAACTCAGAGTGAGTTTTAGAAGAACTTGCAGAGCAAGTTTTGAACTCTGATCGAGTTGATAACTCTGAATGAGTTATTTTTAAGAAAATGCTCCTGTTGCTGATCTCCCGAGCTCCAGAAAATGCTCTAAGGATCTCCTCTGGTGCTGCCAAGTCCCAGATCCAAAATATGCCAGCCTTTTGACCGAATCTCTCTTTGTTGATGAGAAAAAAATTCGATCCTTTAACTCAATTGAGTTTCTGGTATTTATAGGGGATTAAGGGTGGTAACTACCCCCTTAATTCGCTCTTAAGTGGGGCGAAAATCCCTCAAATCGTGGGAAAAACAGTTCCTGGAACTGTTCATTGCGTGCTTTGAACGAGTCAAACGCTAAAAAATAGCGTTCAGG